GCTTCCAAAGATTCCCATTGTTCACGTAATTGATGGAAATTTCAATATTTTCATTTTGTCCCGAAATTTTTCCATCATCTTGATTCCTTTTCAAATTGGAGTCAAGAATTTCTCTTTTCTTTCGAGGATTCTTATCTTTAGACCCAACTGGTCTTCCTCGTTTCAAGCGTGTCTTTGACTCATTTGGCTTATCGTCATTTGCCATTTCTTTTGGAATCTCAATTCGAGCAGGGGCATTTACGGCTACCACATGTGATTTGGTCACCCTTTTTAAATCAGTAAATGCATCTGGCAATTGATTTGCAATATTCTGCAAATGTATGATCTTTTGAATTTCTTGCTCTCTTTGTTTGGTGGGAGGATCAAGATATGATAATGCGGATGTTCTCCATTCAATATTTCTCTCAATTGACTTTTCATTCCCACCTAAAGGGGGAAACAATTCTTCATTAAAATGACAATCATCAAAACGAGCTGTAAAAACATCACCTGTTTTTGGCTCAAGGTATTTGATTATTGATGGAGATTCATATCCAACATATATTCCCAACCTTCTTTGAGGCCCCATTTTTGTACGTTGTGGCGGAGCAATTGGTACATATACTGCACAACCAAAAACTCTTATATGTGCAATATTTGGTACTCGACCATATGCCAACTGTAATGGCGAGAATGTATGGTATGCACTTGGTCTTATTCGAATTAGATCATCTGCATGCAGAATAGCATGTCCCCATACTGAAGTGGGGAGTTTTGTTCTCATTATCAATGGTCTAGCTATAAGCTGCAGTCGTTTAATAAGTGATTCTGCTAGACCATTTTGAGTGTGAACATGTGCCACAGGATGTTCAACATCAATTCCCACAGCCATACAATAATCATTAAATGCTTGAGATGTAAACTCTCCAGCATTATCCAGTCTGACTCTCTTGATAATATAATCTGGGAATTGAGCCCTTAATTTAATAAGTTGGGCAAGTAATTTAGCAAATGCCATATTTCTAGTGGATAACAAACTTACGTGAGACCATCTACTAGAGGCATCAATCAACACCATAAAATATCTGAATGGACCACAAGGTGGATGAATAGGTCCACATATATCACCATGAATCCTTTCTAAAAATAATGGTGATTCATGTCCGACTTTAGTATGTGATGGTCTCATTATCAATTTCCCTTGAGAACAAGAGGCACATGTCAACTCATGTGTTTGCAATATCCTCTCATTTTTTAGTGGATGGCCACTAGAATTTTCAATAATTCGTCGCATCATTATCGAGCCAGGGTGACCAAGTCGATCATGCCAAAGTTTAAATATTTCATTCGACTTTGAATTTGTTGCAGCATATGCCTCAATTATATTAATCCGGGTATAATACAAACCCGAGGATAAAGCGGGTAACTTCTCCAAAACACATTTATTTCCCGCATTATCTGAGGTAATGCAAAGATATTCAACTCCCCCTTTATTCATCGTTTCAATGTGGTATCCGTTCGTTCGGATATCTTTAAAACTCAACAAATTTCTTGTTGATTTTGGGGAGAATAGTGCATCACTTAATATAAATTTTGTACCGCCCATCATAAAAAATATGGCTTTTCCAAAACCTTCAATTATCTTTGCACTTCCGGATATTGTGTTTACTTTTGCTTCATTTAATTTCAAGTTCACGAAATATTTTCTGTCCTTGAGGATAGTATGAGTAGTAGCACAATCTGCAATACATATATCTCCATCTTGAATTCGAGACCGATCCATGATCTAAAAGAAAACAACATTTATTATTGATCAAATTCAAAGTACAGATACAAGTAGCTCATACACAAATACATTACAACTCAAAAAGCAAAATAAAAACATGATCATCAGTTATTCTCTAGGTCATTTCCAGCTCCGTCTTCAAATGCCGCATCGGCAAAATCCAGTTTCAATATGTCATCGATGCCATAGTCATCATCCACACGCGTTGCATCATTTTCAGAGGATTCCCCAACCATAAAATTAGTTTCTATATTCTTATCTTTTGATTTCTGGGAATCTTGGTATTTTTCAACCTCGTGCCTTGGGGCTCGACAATTTCGAGCCCAATGGTTATTTCTACCACATCGATAGCATGCCTTTTCATCGTTATCCCCTTTATTATTTTCAGAATGTTTATGAAAATCATTTTTTCCATGTCCATGATAATTACCTCGGCCAGATTTGTATCCTGGGAAAAAATTTCGGCCTCGTCCATAATTTCTATCTGGACCATATCCACGGCCACGTCCACGTCCACGTCCACGTCCACGACCACGGCCACGTCCCGAGGTATATCCACGCACATTTGTTTGGCTGTTTTCATTTCCGGTTCCCTGTTTAGATATTACAGCATTTATTTCAGGGACCGCAGTAGACCCCGTGGGTCTAGATTCATGATTTTTCATCAACAGCTCATTATTTTGTTCGGCTAGCAACAAGCAAGAAATCAGCTCAGAATATTTCACAAAGCCTTTTGCTCTGTATTGTTGCTGCAAAAGTACGTTTGAAGCGTGGAATGTGGACAACGTTTTTTCAAGCATATCGTAATCAGTTACGTTTTCCCCGCATAATTTCAATACCGAGCAAATGCGGAACATGGCTGAATTGAACTCGTTTACAGTTTTAAAATCTTGGAAGCGTAAGTGCATCCATTCATAACGAGCCCGGGGGAGAATTACTGTTTTCTGATGATCGTATCTTTCTTTCAAAGCTTTCCAAAGATCCGCAGGATCTTTCACAGTTAAGTATTCATTTTTCAATCCCTCATTTAAATGGTGCCGCAGAAATATCATTGCTTTAGCTTTATCTTGTATTGATGAATTATTTGGGGAGATTATTGTTTCTCCCAATCCCCTCGCGGCCAAATGAATTTCGGCATCCAGTGTCCATGAAATATAATTTTTTCCCGAAATGTCAAGAGCCTCAAATTCAAGTTTGACCAGATTTGCCATGATAACTATAAAATAAAACATCAATGCTTATATTAGAGAAAATTACATTATACAATCATTAATTCTCCATAACGTACAGAAAAACAAATAAGAGACACATCATACAAAAACCTAATACATAAAGTATAAATTCAGTGGTATGATACATCATCGTGAAAATTCCCAAAGTGTAAAAAATAAACAATATAATGGTAATTATAAATAGTAGATGAAACATTTTTTTTTTTTTTGAGGGAAATATATTTTAGTATTTGAAATGAGTGTTAATATATGAAGTGTAGTGTGATATATATATAAGTTGATAAGTAGCCGTTGCAATATAGCCGTTATGTAGCCGTTGGGAACAAATTAATGATATAATATTTGTTAGTTAATCATTCATGATTATAAAATACTAATTAATCATGTATATTATCTTAAAAATTCATCGAGCCACTATGTGAACAATTTAATGAATATAAGTGTCAAAAAAAATAAAAATGTCACTCCACACTACTCGATAAATCTTTCGGTGGGTACAAATATAAGCAGTTATAAATTTCACACCACATTACTGGGTAAACCCTTTTGCGGGTGTGAAGTACAAGTAATAATATTATATATTTTTAATTATAACATGAAGTCATTTCTTAATCATTAGTAATCCATAAGTAAATTTGATAATATCAACTTACCACATATTATTGACTATGGCAGAGCCGTACTTGCCAATAATAATGGTAATATGTAAATTAGTATAATGTTATATTTAGTATATTCATACCACATATTCTTGACTATGGCAGAGCCGTACTTGTCAAAAATAATGGTAATATGTAGATTAGTAAAATATACTGAGTTTATGTAATGTATATACATATTAGTATATTCCTACCTTTCGGACCGGGTAGAGCGTTCGTGCTGATAACGTGTTATAAAAACGAGAAAGATATAGAACACAAAATAGAAACCGGATAGAAATTATACTGAATATTTCTTTTTTCTTCTGAATGAGCACACTTTCACTACATTTGCATTGCCTTTTATAGGCAAATTCTACCGACACTTTGAACATAAATTATTCATATCCCATACTCCATTACTATTCACACATGTTGGACTCACTATTTATGAATAGTGGTACATTCCACTTGTTCATAACAGATGACAAATATTTTTTTTTGGTACAATGGATGACAAATATTTATTACACATGAAGTCTTACTAGTTTATTAATATACTAGTAAATATAAGGATAAATAAACCAAAAAGTATATAAGAGTGCATAATACTAAAAAACTCGCGGGCGGGCCGATTTAGCCCGCGGGCTAATGAGGGTGGGCCACGGGCTATAGATTTCCAGCCCGTAGAAATGCGTTTGAACCGCGGGTCGGGCCGGACCGGACACTGCTACTGGTGACCCTGTTTAACATTTATTATAAATGGATCCAATTACATACCGTTACAAGTTCTCAAAAGAAAAATCCACAACCAGTTTCCTAAAAAAAATTATCAATCAAGATATCAAACAAATGAACAAGGCAGGCAGCAGACGAGAGGCATAACTATGAGGCCATTGACCAGAAGCAAAAGCCTATGGCAATCAACACATTGCAGTTGGGAATAAAGATAACTCAAACTGCAGATTAGGTGGAAATACAAATAAATTTTGTATTTTATAAAAATTGTTCAAATTAAGGACAAAATTTCTCCCTGAAAAGAAAATCAATTTCTATCACGGGTATGTTCTCACATGCATGAGTTATTAATTCCAAATATAAGCACACATAAATGACCTGTGAATTTTGCTAATGCATACATTTTTGGGTGTGATGACTGATGAGGTCAATTACTCTTTCCCCATAACACGTCTAAATCATTTCAGCAATTTTTCTTCGATATCTGAAATATAATTACTGCTTATGGTAAAATATCAATGGCATTGAAAGCAACTGCTTGAGGTGACATTACAAGCTGTAGAAGGAATGTGGTCCTTTTGAGTTTGACCCACTTGTTCACGTCATTAACAACCCAAAGCCATTGAACACAAACTAAAGGGAATAAAAACACCACCACTTGTTCAAGTTCATTAACATCCCAAAGCATTTCTGAATTATTTTTTGGTATATCCATGTTTCTTCAAAGAACTTATTTCAGTAAAGCAAAATAGTGAGAAATTTACTCTAATTTACCAACATTTGCTTTTAATCCTTATGGAATCTCTCTTGTGGCTGCAATTAAGAAGGTGGCCGGTTCCTTAGCTCTCACTCGAGCCTGTGAGGGGTCTGTGAAACTACAATTTTTCAGGTAATCTATTATTATTCAGTTTCCATTAATCTCCACATTTGTTTGGTGTGAAATTATGGTTTTTGGTAATATGCTATGCCAAAATATCATCACCCTCTACCCGAGACACATAAGGAAAACCAGCTCGGAAGAAAATCTTAAAATGGAACTTTTTAAATTGTTAAATATACATCTACAAAAGAAAATCTAGAAGCTTTAAATTATTCTTCGGTGCATGAGTGGAGGTCTTGATTAGATTTTGTAGTAAAAAATAAAAATCTTTTTGGGTTTATTGGGTGGAAATTTTGGTTATCTTTGGGTGTCTGTTATTAAGTTCTTGTTGGCCTCATGAGTGGTTTCCTGCTTGGTAATATAAATACAAAATTACATATTAAGATTTTCCTCCCAGCTAGTTTTCCTTCTATATTCTTAAAAAATATTTATGCAAATAGTTCGGTTAGACTTCAAAGAACAATTTATTTCAGTAGATTCATCATGTCGTCTGACATGGCAAGCACAAGTCGGTCACCACTGTCTGTAGCCATAGAAGTTTCAAGAGACCCTTCATTTGTACAACCAGGACTCTCTCTCTCGAGTCCCAAGAATCAACCGGGACACCATTTGAGTCCCAAGCATCAGGAGGCTCATGCATCAGACTCCTCTGTCAGCACACTTACTGAGGCTGAGAATTCTAATAATTGGACATTGCCAAGGATTCTGATAGTGGCAGCTGTGGTGGGGGCAATAACTGTCGCTGGCGTGATGGCAACAATGCTTTTGGTCTCACGAAAAGACCACCCAACTCACAAGCTTCATCCCCATCCCGAGTGTCAACTCAGCCTCACCATGTACTGGGAAAGGAAATCGAATTTTACCACGATCTCGGATGTCTTGGACGCGAGCCCCAGCTCCAACTCTAGCTCTTTCAAGATTTGTGCTTTGGTTCGTCCGCGACGAGTATAATGAGACACTGAACATCGCTGACGAAAAGATGTATGTAATGCTGATAGGAGAGGGAGCTGAGAAGACAATAATAACATCAAATTCGAGTTTAGTCATCGGTAGCAGTATCTTGCCATCTGCCACACATTTAGTTATCGGTACACCTTTCGAACAACGAGCAAAGTGTGGCAGATGGCAAGATGCTGCTACCGATAACTAAACTCGAATTTGATGTTATTATTGTCTTCTCAGCTCCCTCTCCTATCAGCATTACATACATCTTTTCGTCAGCGATGTTCAGTATCTCATTATACTCGTCTGCCCGAACCAGAATACAAATCTTGAAAGAGCTAGAGTTGGAGCTGGGGCTCGCGTCCAAGGCATCCGTGATCGTAGTAAAATTCGATTTCCCGTCCCGTTGAGGCTGAGTTGACACTCGGGATGCGGATGAAGCTTGTGAGTTGGGTGGTCTTTTCGTGAGACCAAAAACAATATTGTCGCTATGGCTACAACAGCAATAAGCCCCACCAAAGCAATCACCATCAAAATCCTCGGCCACGTCCAATAACTTGGTGCACCAAAAGAAAAATCCGTCCCGTGTGTCACGGCTGATGTTCCAAATGGACATGACTAATCTTGTAGTGTTTATGCAATCGGTTTGTATCCAATAATTATAATAGTGCCTCAAACATATTTATTTGTGATCTAACGGGTTGAGGGCTCAACTTATTCTAATGATCTAATATATTTAAGAAAGTCAAATGTTAAGACTTCAGCAAGACCTGATCGCCTCTAATCAAATTTCATTTCCATATAATAATTAGTGAATAACAAAACCATGAAATTTTCGCATGAACATGTCTGCAATTTACATACAGATCAAGATCATGCATTCAATTGACAATATAGCGATTCAAGTTTTCACTTTCATTGTCTGTCACAGTTGATTGTTAATAGCTCGATTTTTGAAAAGAACGAAAGATGATAATCGTCAATACCCGACCGCAGAACCGCCTTTCCTCTGGTCAGTAACCGCCAGGAGCTGACCGGAATTCGGACCCTCCAACTTCTGAACCACAAACTGGCAAATAGTCCAGCCATGCCCCTTTTGCAGCACATGACCCTTATTTTTCAAACTTTTCAAAATCTCCGGTCCACACGAGTACTTATCACTCCCTGCAGAGCTGTACTCCTCATGGTAAAGCACGTTCGGATATAGCTTCACCATGGAAATATTTTCCGTTAGACTATATAACAACGAGCT